GGGCTGCCGCCACTGCCGCTGCTCCTCCTGCTGCTGCTCCTCAGCCCCATCCTGCTGCTGCCGCAGATCCTGATCGCGCTGCTGCCCCCGCTGTTACTGCGCCTGCTGCTGCTCCTGCCGCAGCTGCAGCCCCGGCGTGCGGCCGCAGTGCCTCGGCCGGAACAGCCAGCACCGAGTTAGCCAGCCTGGCCACAGCCGAGGGAATGCGGCAGGAGCCCCAGAGGTCACCGCAGCGAGGTTGAGCGTGGACTCCAAGGAATAACMAGCCAAACCCGCCGGGGATTTGCAATGCAAGCAGCCTTTCCAGGTTTCTTTTCTGCTTTGCTCCCACCCTGCTGTTGGATTTGAGATCATGTATGTTTCGCTGTTGATTACGGGAGGGTGTCAAAATCTAGGGAGGGAAGAGGATTCGGAAGGATTAATACGTTAGTTTTGATTTAAGGGGATTTTATTTTCTTTACTCTTATCCCTGTCCTTCATCTTTGTTAACACAACTTTGTCTTTATTATTTTTATTTTAGGTCGGTTAATATTGTAGCTTTTGGGAATGAAAGAGATGGTTTTTCTGAGGGCAATCAGCAGCCCAGCCTGATCTGGAGCTACCTCGGGAGAAGTGCTCTCATTTCCCAAATCGACAGCAGCTTGTCTGCAAGTCACGTTGGAAACCCAGTTTTTTCTGAGTATCAAGCCTGTGTGTTTGGAAATGTCAGACTGGTGGTGCACGACTGTCCTGTCTGGGTAAGAGATCCATCTCAGTCCTTTTAACTGCACTTGGCCGTGTGACCTGGTTTAGTACAATGAAAAGATAGCCTAATTTTAAATTATTTTCGTTGTTGTGCGATTTTATTAATATTTTAATTATTGCAAACAATATAAACTTATAAAATGTAGCCAGGCAAATGCTGCAAAATCTCAAAAAGTTTCCCATAAACAAGCCCCTGCCAGCCTCCCCTGTAGGAAGGTGGTATTTTCAACTGTGTTGCTTAGTGGAAATTTTATGAAAAATAATCCAGAGATAAACAAGAATGCCTTCCTTGTGATGCTGTATCAAAAGCTCTCTGTCCAAATATTTGTCAGCAATAGAAGGAAATTAATTTTATCCTTAAAAAAAAAGGCAGTAAGTTTTCCAGCTTCAAAAAATGGCAGATTAAAAGATTTGATAGCTTGCAAAATACAATGTAGGGAGTAATTTTACTTCTCTTACAAAGAATTATCACGTCTTAAAATTATTACCTTTATCAGATGGTAAATAAAAAAGATTTTGGCAGTGTTGCAAGTTGTCAGCACTTTTGTTAGTAAGTGAGAAAACTTAGTTATAAGTGTGAGCAGATCAATTATTATGTAATAAATGATACAGATAATCTAAATTAAAACATATTTAATGACTACTTAGTAGCCTTAAAAAAAAAACCCTCAGCTTACCAGATTTTAGAAATTAAAACAATAATCAGTTTCAGCCCCATAATTCTATCCTTTGGGTGATTGGTTTTTTTTACTCCCATAAGACAAATCTTTTGGGGAAGCTGCAGGAACCRTAACAGTTTCATGAAATACACAATCAGAAGCTGGCAATCGTAAAACTAACAATCCAGTTTCGCTGTCCTTCTGTTCTTTATTTCTTTTTTTGCCAGCTGCACTTACAGACACCAGTTCAGATGGACTTGGGGGATCCTGTTTCTAATCTGTGAAGCTGCATGTGACCCGCACGTGCAGTTTGCTGGAGTCACCAGAGCGCAGCAAAGAGTAAAATCTCCTGAATATAAATGAAGTCTGTAGAACTTGAAAGGCTGTTTCAGAAGAATGGAGGATGGGAATGGAGGTGGGGAGGCAAGTGAGGGTAACTGGAGAAGTGGGAAGGAGGGACAGGAAGGAAGGAAGAAAGGAAAATGGGAGACACAGTTGATGTGTGTTTACGCTGTTTTAATTGCATTTGCCATTCTGCAAAACAAGGTTCATCAGTCCTGGAGGCCTTATAGTTTCTGCCCTTCAAAAGCCAGCTTGTTGTTGTCCGAGTCACTGCATTTCTGAGGCCTCAGGTTTTTTTTTCCTCTGTCAGCTGAAGGAGGCAGGAGATATATCAATGAGAATGTCGAGGACAAATTATCATTTTTCTCCTCATACAAGACATCTCAGCTAGCAGGACTGGCCTCTGCAGGAGGTTATTTGTTACGCATGGAGCAGTGTCCTTGCCAGGATAAGGCGCAACAGGACCATTTCCCATAGTCTGGGTGCTTGAGGTTTGCTACTGCACTGTAGTTTGTTTGGGGCTGCTCCCCTGCCAGACTGGGGAAACAGCACAGAACAATTCAAAATGTTGACAGAGGCTGCCTCAAATCGTATTCTGCATGGAAAAGCTTCCCTGTTGCATGATGTCAAAACTCAGAGGTGGTGATGTGGTGCACCTTGCAGTATTTCACCCTCCACTATCTGAGCACAACACAAAGGTGGATTTGCATTTTACCTGGGATTCATTTCTCATCTAGATTAAATCCATATGATTAAGGCAGCACAGTCCTAGACATGAATTTCGTAGTTGAGTATGCTGATAGCTGCAAGTCTCAAAATTGAAGGGTTCGCAGCTGCTMTTTGTCCTCCAGAGCCATCAGCCTGGAAAAGCAGTGTCAATGTGAATTTACTGAGCAGAGCTCCCCAGCGCATGGGGGACCCTTCTGTACAGCAGATTATGGTGCAGTTTCATTTTCTCTAGTTCCAGTCTCCTGCTGCACCTGTCTGTCAGCTCAGGACAGTGCTCAGCCTTCTGATTCTGCAGCAGGGCCAGCAGTTCAGGTGTCTTTGGGCAATTACCGGGATAAATTCGTGTTTGCCAGCCTGCAAACCTTGTGAGCAGCGTGCCTGCAGCACGTTGTGAGCAGCTGTTCTTCCCAGGCACATGCAGGATGGAAACGCTGACTGACAACCTCACAGTTCACGCAGATGTCACAGGGGTGTAGAGACGGTGGAACACCAGCTTTTCAAAATCTGGGGGCAAAATGTCTGAGTTCCCAAGGACAGGTTTCTCTTGGTGTGCCAAGCTCTGGGTGTACCATTATGACTTGCTGTGTCCACGCTGTCCTGGCAGAGCTTATGCAGGGGACAGATGCATGATGGACGAACATCCTTGTAAATCAGGCAGCTTGGAAACGTTTTCTCAAAAAAATCTCGAAAGACCTAGGATGAGGGAAGACGTAAAGAACTAGGGAAAATACGTGTGTGCCAAAATCTCTGCTGAATACTGTGATTTTAATAGCTCAGCAGTCATTAATGTATGCTCAAGCTGCCCTAGCGTAAGACATATTGAACAAGAATGCCCCAGTTTTTCTGATTTTGAAATTAGAAAGCTGTGTGGAGCTACAAGGAGTCATTTGCAAGATGAATCTTTAGAATTGCTTTGGAAAAGGCTGCTTTAATTAACACTGTATTAGATCTGACAGTCTTCAGGACTGAGGTGCCCATTTTGACTTGCATATATTTTGCAATTCCTTTGCTCTGAACTTCTTCATGCTTCTGCAGAAAAATGCAGGCAAAATTTGTAATATCTAATGGCAAGTGAGTCTTCCTCAAATCCAGAATTAAGCATAGCATAGAAGCTGTAATTCATGTTTTGATTCATTTAATTGCAGTGCTGGAAAACAAATGGCAAAATAAAAACTTCTTAGTGAGTTTTCTCTACTTGGGGCAATGCTTGTTCTCCCCTCTCTTACTTGGAGGAATACCTTAATGGTATGAAATTGTTTCTGTCCTGGGCTGGGGGTCTTGCTGCCCTTTTTAACTTTTTCTACTAAGAGCCACCTGGTTTTGGTTGTTGGTTTTGGTTTTTTTGTCTTTTTTTTTTTGTTTGTTTCGTCCCCCCGCCCCCTGCCCCCCATCAGGAAACAACACATGCAGAATCTTCTTTTTTTTTTTTTTTTTTTTTTTTTTTTTTTTTTTTTTTTTTTTTTTTTTTTTTTTTTTTTTTTTTTTTTTTTTTTTTTTTGTTTTCCCTTATTTTATAAAAACTGCTCAGTTTCTAGAGAATATATGATATTGGCAAGGTCAGAAATGTAATCAAAGGGGAAAATAGAGCAGCTGGGTTTTGGAGATATCCTTGCTGTATGAGGTACATGTAGAATGGTGAATGCTCAGAGCCTTGCACAGAGCTGCAGACCTCCATGGAGCTCGCGAGTGTTCAAATACATTAACTCCACCTTAAATACATAAACGGCAATTTTGAAAAGGTGTTCTGTGAATTTTTTGTAATTCTCCCTTAAAATGTAAGTCATTCCCTGAGTATTTTTTATTTTTTCTGTCTGCTTTTTTGTTTTCTGGACCAACAGGAGTAGTCCTTCAAACACTGTGAGCTTTCTTATGTCAGCAGTATCAACCATAGTGTAGTTGCCTGACTTATTTCTCTTTAATAGAAATCTTGTGTTCTTTATGCAGCCAAGACTGGCCAGCCCTTATCATGTCTAAAGGTAAAGGAATCTGATCCACTTTTAGATTTTATTTACTTTCTTTAGAAATCTAGTTGAATTACTCCTTCAGTACAAAGTGACTGGTTGTAACTTTCCATTTTTCAGTACATCATCCTTTCTCATTTTTAAATTGCCCGAGGGGGAAATTAATAATTATCATATCCCAGTAAATTCTTTTCTCTACTGTGTTCATTATTTGTACTTTTAAATAAGTATTATTGATTTACTCTATGAGAGGATGACACAGGCCAATGTGAGCTGCCTTTGTTTTGCAGGGGCATGTTTTAAGCAGATTTCTGAAAAAGATATTTTCATCTGTGCTGTAGATAACTTATCTGAGTATGTTCAGGGGACTAGTAAGTTATGGAGAGTACACCCATACAATTTGCCCTGTGGCAGACTTGATAAGAAATTGTAGAGGGAAATAATGGGAAAGGGTCCAGTTTCTGGTGTGGARAGCATCAGAGTGAAGAAGTTTTTGTTAGTGGAGATTGGGTCTGTGAAGGGATCCTAAATGGGGATGAACTTTCCAATATTCCCAGTGCAGATGTCTTGGATAGTGGGGAAATCCCAGGGGATTTCCCTGGAATGGGATGGGCAGGTGTCCTTGTCCTTGCAAAGAGTGGTTGTCATTGCTGCTGCCTCAGATCAGGGTTTGGGCTGTGTGGCTGTAGGAGCAGCTTTCACAAAGAGTGTGGGCATTGCAAGGGCACTTGTGCGAAGAATTTCACTGCCATTCCAAAAAGGCATTCATAAATCATTTTTAACAAAGCAGGCATTGTTGTCCTGAGGGATCATGTGACTTTGCAGGAAAATCATATCTTCAATGCCTCTGAATTCTTTAGTTTCAACATTGAATCTTGAGAAATATAATTTACTAATGGCAAGAATATGTTATGAGACACTTAGAATGAAGGCATGCAAGGAAAGAATGAAGCTTTTTCCTAATATGTCCTGTGTAGAACAGCATCAGAAATATAATTATAATTAATAAGGTCATATTACAATAACCTCAGCTGTGCAGTTACTTCTTCCTTCAGCCAACAGCTGACTTGGGAAATGGAGCAGGAAGCAGGATGAGGAGTAGCTGTTATACAAATTTCATAGAGGGAGCCTGAAATTAAGGTTATTCCTAATTCTGAGCTGCTGTTCATCATCTGAACAAATTTCTTGTGTCATTTTTGCATAAAAGGTTCTTTAAAAGCGATAGTGAAGGAGCGTCCAGATGCTGTGTCGCAGGGATGCCGTATGCAATTAATGTATGGCTGTCTGGAATGTTTTTGTTTTCCCAGCACATGAGATTTAGCTCCGTTGTACACTGGAGCAAGCAAAAAATAATATACAAACATTAATAAATGGGAAAAAAATACACATTAAATTCTATAAAAAGTTTCTGTGACCATTTTCTGTTACTCAAGAATTACTGCTTCAAGCTGTGCAGTTACTGTGTGCTTGTGCACCTGTGCCCTACGCTTTACTTATGATACCACTGTTTTTTTCCAAGGTTGTAGAAATGGGCAGGTGCAAGTGGGGCTAAACTTGAAGACAGTCAGCTGGAAGGAAATTTCAAAGGAACAGATGTACTTTCTTATCTGCCAACAGAACAGAACAGAGCAGATAAATATTTCATGGGTTTGGGTTTTTGGTTTTTTTTGTATTGTATTTTTCCCTTAAACCTTTGTTGTGTTAAATGTATTCTATTAAAAATTCTTATTGAGATTTTCATCATCTAAAATGGATTAAAGCTGTCCCCTGAAAATTCTCAATTTTTGCCTGTCTGTGTGGTCAGGTTCTGCAAATTTCCCTCTAGATGGTTGTCTCAAAGCACTGTAGCTGGTAGTCTTACTGCTAGAGTTGCTAAAGGTGCATTTATTTGCAAGTGTTATATTATTAACTGCACCTAAATGATTGTGTTAAGTGATAGTTGAGACTCTCCTTAGCCTGGGATTATAGCAGTCTCTAACTGAGTTGTCTCAAAAAACCCCAACTAATCAAGGGTAGTGCACTTGACCTTCTCCCTTGTCAACACGGTTAATCATGTAAGAGCTATTCCTGATAAATTGTTAATTGTGGTTTATTTATTGCAGAACAAAAGCTTCAGTTACAGAGACCAATGGGAATGGCTGCTATAATTTATTTCCTGACTTATTTCTTTGTAAGGGCAAGCCCTGAATTGGGAGTGATGTGCGCTGACAGTTTAGGCAAATATTTGTTGACTTTGACTTCCATCAGGGTCATGCTGCTTCTTGTTCTTAAAAGCATTGCAGCTTCCTCACCAGATTCAAACAATGACCCTTTTGGAGTGATCAAAAATAGTTATGTTGACAGTGCAAGCCATGTCACTTGTTGATATCACTACTCTTATGTATTTGACTCCCACTTGTATTGCTTATTTCTGTGACTAGCTCTCCAAAATTCACACTGATGCCCCCCAACCCAAACTTTGAGTGCTTCCCTTCTGTCACTTCTGTGCTCATTTATTCCTGTTTTCCGTATTTATTTCATTGTTGTCTTTATTTCATTGTTGCTGATTTCCATTTTTTCCCTCAAGCTCCCAACTCTTCTAGTTTTGCCTCAGGCTATGCAGGGCTGCTACCAAGTCATGGAATCACAGGATGGTTTGGATTGGAAGGGACCTTAGAGATCATCTCACTCCAGCCCCCCTGCCATGGGCAGGGATGCCTTTCCCTAGACCAGATTGGTCAGAGCCTCATCCAACTTGGTCTTGGACACTTCCAGGGATGGGGCAGCCACAGCTTCCCTGGGCAATCTGTGTCAGGGCCTCACCACCCTCACAGTTAAAAATGTCCTCCTTAAGTCCAAGCTAAATCTACCCTCTCACAACAGGCCTTGCCAAAGTTTGTGTCCAATTTTTTCATAAGCCTTCTTTAAGTCTATAAACAGCAAAAAAAGCCTTTCTGTTCTAAGGGATGGTAGTATTTTGGGTTATCTGAGTTGTTTTTCAGTTCTCTGGATCAGTTCCAGATTTCTCTCAAGGGTTTTCAATTCAGCATATATCCAAAGCCAAGGCTTCCCCTGGTGTTTATGAGTTGCCTTCAGGTAAAGCAGAAATTGTGGAATCACAGCGCCACGATAAATCCACAAGTAAGGACTGTGTACTGCATGTGAGTACAGCACAGTTGTAAATTAACAGAATATCAAACGATTTTAGAGTTCAAGACCTCAGGACAGAGCAACAAAAGATTAAAGGCGAAGTTCAAAATGTTTAGGTACGTGATTGAAGTCCTCATCCTGAAGACATCAACACCTGTTAAAGTTTTAGGGAAACGCTTGTATGGCAGATAAAAATCACACTGAATTTATTAAWTTTATTTTATAACAGTTTAACAGTTCATAGGTGCATAAGATAGTTCCCTGTAACCCTTTCCTTAAAATTGTGGAATTAGTAATGTTTTTGTATGAATGGCTGAAAACATCTACCACTGAAAGTGCTTTTATTTCCTAAATGAAATAATATAAGTAATTAAACCAGCAAAGTTTCTTCCTGAAATAATATTCTCGGATAAACCCGATTTTTAATTCTTCTTGCAGAATTCCTGAATTCATGGAAAACATTTATGATTTATTATAACAAACAACTTTCTCTCCAAACAGGGAAATTACAAAGATCAATTCTGCACATTGTTGCGTGTCTTCAGATAAAATCTAATCAGACAAAAAAAACTTATGATAAGTTTTGCATTAAGAATTTAGAATATTTCATCTTTTTCTATATAGACAGTAAATTCTTGATCAGCATGTTTTTTTCTTTTTAGGATATATTTGACAGTGACTGGTACACCTCCTGCAGGCTCATTGGAGGAGCTGATATTATTGTGATTAAATATTCTGTCAATGACAAGGCTTCATTTCAAGAACTAAAGGACAGCTATGTKCCAATGGTAAAAAAAGCGTTAAACCACTGCTCGGTTCCAGTGATCATTTCTGCTATTGGTGCAAGAAAAAATGGTATGTATCCAGCCTTCTGTAGCTACAGATAAAATCTCATTTGGAAGTTGGSTATAGTGTATTTTCAGTAGAAGCTGATTGTTTTTCCAAGCTGATAACAGAAACAATTAGTCTGTCTGGATGACATTAATGTGCGCATGTCTTTTGGCTCTGCAGACTGATGCATTGGCAAGAACATTGTGCTTAATTAACCCCAGTGATGAAAAGCAACCTATCCTTCTTTGACCTTTGCTGTGACTCTTCCTGCGGAGCCATTACRCATGGGGATTAAATCCACTAATTTGGATTAAGCAACATGTATTTGGGTATAAAGTATCTCTAGTGTATGAGATTCAAATTATATCCACCAGTGAGCAAACACTGGAGAGTAGGTGGGAAAAGACTTGAAATTCTCTGGAACTTTTTTTCTAAAGCAATGAAAGTAGAATACAAGCCTGGCTTGTGTTTTACTTTATGACACATGACTAAAACAAGTGTTTCTGAACATCCCTCCTTTTGGTGAGCAAGGGACATGATAGCTGTAGATGTAAACATTTATTTTATGATGTACATAGAAATAGTTATCCATAAGAAGTGTATCCTCTGTGGACAGAATGCTCAGTTTTGCCAGAGTCTCCTTAAAAATCTTTTAGCTCAGTGACTGATAAAGGACAGTTGAAGACCTCAGTTAAATATTTATTTTCTTGCAATTAGTATTTCAATGATCTTGACTAAAAGTTTATATACTCTGATTTACTAATCTTGACTAGAAGTTTATATACTCTGATTTACTCTGATTTACGCTTCATTCTAAAGGCACTGTCTTGATAAACTGTTTGCCTTACCCAAGCCTTTACTTGCACTTTTTATTTAAGTATGGGCTGCGGGTTTCTATGTTTTCCACTTACTTTCTTTTTCTGTCTTCCTCCCTAAATAATGTGGCCATGGGAGACATCAGGCTGGACCTCTGGACTTGCCCTGGGACCTGTCAGAACAAACTGCTGTGCACATACAGAACCCTTTTGTTTCTAGGAGGTATTTGTGAACACAGCAGTTTGCTCATACAGATTACTAAGATCTTAATCCTCTGTAGTGGTAAATGGTGCTGCCAAAACAAATGGTTAAAAAAAATAAAAAAAAAGCTGGTTTATTACATGTTATCCATAGGTATAGGCAGAGGACATTAAGGTGGAGCATGCACAGCACATTTGAAAGCAAATCCATGGTTTGCAGGTTCTTACTGTCAGTAAGCAAAGCTGGCCCAGTGTGGCTGAAAGATATTTAACAGTTAACTGGCATAATGCTAAAAATACCTATTTTATACTTTTAAAAATGTGTGCAAAATATGTGTTATTGAATCAGATTGTGCAATATGTACACACCCATCACAGGTTGCTCTGGAGTGGATATTTTCCTCTTTCATGACTCTCTGTGTTTCCTGCATGGACAGGCTACAATAATTCGTCAGATTTAAGGGTGACATTAATGAATGATAACATGTGCAGGTTTGCACAAGACCTGGGCATGCAAAGGTRCTGAGCCCAAGCCAAACCTGGCTTCTGGAAGTCTGGCTGGGCTTCTGTCCTTCARCAAAACCAATAAAGTAAGGCTAATGTTATGTGTACTGAGCTTTGTAAAGTAACTACTATTTGGAACTGATTAACAAGAAGTTGTGTTTATTTTCTATAATTAGAGATTTCTTTCTCTAAAATTACTATGTTTTCACTTCCCTTTGTTCTCTTCTAACTAAGATATCCTTACGGTTCTTTAGGAACCAAAGAACTCTGCATTATTTGGCCAGATTTTTTTTCATTGCTCTTTACTCCAGGAGTGCCTTGCACCTGTCCTCTGTGCACTTCAGACAGGAGGAGCTGTGTCACAACCTCTGAGGGAGTTCAGCTTGCAAAGGAACTCGGAGCCACTTACCTTGAGCTGCACACCCTTAATGACTTCTACATACAGAAATACTTTGGAGGAGTGGTGAGTGGGAATCTGCTGGGCTGGAAGCATGGTGGAGCATGCAGGAGGTGCGTGATTGATGTGAGGGTTTCAGAGAGTGAGGGGCACCATGGGCCCTTCCACCAAGTGCAAGTTCCCACCGATGCAAGATCTAGGTCAGATGTTAGAAATTCTTCTCTGAGGGCGGTCAGACACTGGAACAGAATGGTCAGGGAGGCTGTGGGTGCCCCATCCTTGGAAGTGTCCTTGACTGGATTGGACAGGGCTTGAAGCAACCTGGGACAGTAGAAATCTATGGTCTTCTAGGTACTTTTCAAGCCCAGCAATTTTAGGATTCTGTAACTCCATGAAGCATTGGGAATACCAAGGTTGCTCTGATTTTAACTAGGAAGGTTTAGGAAAACCTGAAAAGCTGCATTATGAAAAGCTGCATTAAGTTTTCCCCTTGTCTTCCTGTCCTTTTGTTTTGCTGGGTAACTCCCATCTGAATGAGGCCACTTCACAAGTTGCAGTTAGTATCTACAGACGTTGGTAAATGGAATCTCTTTGTGTCTGTCATTTCTAGGAAGTTTAAATACACAAAAGATAACCATGATCATTTGAATAAACAGCCTTTTAATTTGCTCTAATTCAATTTAAAAATAAATAAATGAATAAATAAATAAATAGGTTTTGGTAAAGGAGTGTTGGGACTCTGCTGGGTGGCAGGTAGCWGTGTCAGTGGCTTTAGACCTGCAGAACCTGTTTATATTCCTTAGTTTGATGTCTAGGTTGTAATTAAATAACAACAGGTTTTTAAAAAATATATTTCTTGTCTTAGCTGGAATATTTTATGATCCAAAGTTTGAATCAGAAGTCATCTGAAAAAATGAAGAAAAGGAAGAAGACACAGAAGTGTCATCGAGTCCAGCCACCTCAGCTTGAACAGCCAGGTGCTCATGGATATCTGGTCTCTAATATCATTCCATATGTCTATGACTTGCTTTGCACAATTAATAAGTTTTACTATATTTTTTACTAACAATAGTTACTGTGAGCTGTGGTATCTATAGTCAGCTATTCCAGTTATGTTGCATCATCTTGTAGTGATGGTTTAATTGGGGAGAATTGTATGGCAATATGTAACATTGCAATGAATTTCTAGTTTATTTAGGGTAAAACTAATAGGAGTGGTTTTCTGGTGGACTTGATGAGATAATGAAAACATTAATTAATAAAAGCTTTACATAAAACCTTTACAGACAGATTACGAAAGAAGATTGTTAGAGCTTGAATCCTGCAGAATCATCATGTAAGGTTTTTATCTGATGTATCAAGGGAGAGAAGTATGCAYGTGCATGTGATTTCTGAGCATCTGATGCACTTATTCAGTGAAATAATTATACTGACAAGTAGTTACCTCTAAATTTGTAGCTGCCTCTTCTCACATGCTCTAAAAATTTGCTCAGACTTCTTAGATTTGGGATACACAGTCAAAGTTTCTTTACAGTGTAAATTCCTAAAGAGAGTTCATGAAAGGGACAGATACTTACTATTAAACTAAGTATTTCTTAACTTTTAAATTTTACTCTACTAAGTATTTCCATTTTTTGAGTATTTTACTAAAGGCATTTSAACAATATATAAGAAATTTTCTTACAGATTACCTCTTATAAAAATTGCTCTTTGTTTGATAAAGTCTGTTGTCCTGTGGTTAGCACTGGTCTAAGCTTTACAGCCTGGTGTCTTTTGCAGAAAAAATGCCAATCCTGAAGGGCGAAGCCTCGCACTACAACGCAGACCTGCACAACCTTCTCTGCTGCTGCCAGTGTGCAGATGTGGCCTTCTACCCCGAGGACCTCAGCACAGCGGTGGAGGCTCACAAGATCATCCTCTGCTCTGTCAGCCACCTCTTCATGCTGCTGTTCGGGGTGAAGAGCCCATCCGATGCCCATGACGCCTCTACGGTGCAGCTGGCACAGAGTCTCTTCACAGTGGAGACGGGGGATCCCTTGCCCTTGTCCCCCCGAGGTGTCCCATCCTGTGTGCCACCAGTCAGGGTGGTGGTGAAGGATTCTGTCTTCTGTGCTTGTCTCCCAGACATCCTCCACTTCATTTACTCAGGTACCTGCTGGGAACAAGTCTGGCAACTCATTTCCTATTCTGTCATGAAGGAGTATGTTCATCACCCTAAAGAACACGGTTCTGCCATTGTGAGATGATGTTTCACCATGTTTCCACACSTGTTTTATCCCTTGTGATTATTATGGACAATGAAAAAAGACTATCACCTAGATTCAGCAGAGATTAAATTAGTTGTCATTCCACATCTAATGGGCCTAAATAAAATTAGTCCATAAGCTAACATCAGTGACATTCAAAACCTTTGTCAAAAAGTATTTGGAGTTGAAGTCAGTTTCAGATCCTAGGTTTTTAAAATACTGTAAATGATTGCATGTTCTAAACACAATGACAAGAGTGCAGAGTTATTTAGGAAAAGTCATTTTTCTTCTGGGTATGGTACTGCTGAAGAAAAAAGAGTGCTAATTGGTTGGAATGTGGTAATTTCTGATGAAAATTATGAAAATCAGAAATTTTGAGTTTTGCTACTAACTGTCCTCCTACCTTTGCTACTACCTCACCTACCTARTGCCAGCTATTAAAATGACATCCATTTTTTTATAATTTTCCAGATGTTGCTTAGAAGTCCTCAGCTCAAAGAGTTTGGTTTTTTAATGGAAGTAGCCAATAGCTGRTTGTTCTTTATTATAAAGTATTTTTCAAGCTATCAGAAAACCTTTCAGCTTTCAGTTGGAATTTGTACATCAAAGGCATCCCTTTCTGTTTTTTACAAAACAGTGCCAATCATAAAGAAMAGATGCAGTAATTTTTCACTCTGAATGGGTTTAATTTTTGTTCTTATTCATTGGAGAATAGGGAATTAAAACTAGAACTTCAGGAGGTGATGGATAAATGCAGTACTTTTAATTCATAGAATAATTTGTGTTGGGAAAGACCTCAAAGTTAAACCACTAACCTATCAGTTCCAAGTCCATCAGGTAAACCAAGTCCCTAAGCACCACATTTCAAAGTCCTTTCAGGGATGGTAACCCTACCACTGCCTTGAGCACTTCGCTTCAGTGCTTGACAKCTCTTTAGGTGAAGAAACTTTCCTGATATCCAATCTAAACCTCCCTGGGTGCATATTGAGGCTATTTCCTCTTGTCCTGTCACTTGTTACTAGGGAGAAGAGACCAACCTCCACCTGGCTAAATGTCCTTCCAGGGAGCTGTAGAGAGTGACAAGGTCACCCTTGGGCCTCATTTTCTCCAGCATAAAACACCTTTGTAAACATCTTTATCTGTTGCCATTTACCAGAACTAATATCTGCTGCCTCCTGTGGGTAATTTTACTTTTTTACTTTCCTTTATGTCAACCAAGGAGCTGTGAATTTGTGCAGTTGCAGACAGAGCTCTGCTTTAGATCACAGCTCCCACCCTCAGGGGCATTGCCAAAAGTCATTTTGCCTTTTTGATGCCTCTGAGAGATGACCATGTTTTTTGAAGGCACTTGAGGTGCCAGCTGAGAATTGAAAAAATCATGAGTTTTCAGCTTTTCAGGACCATGACCTGATGCTCATGAGGCTGTAAAYACCAGCAGGGTGTAGATGGGAGCTGGTGGAGCTGAGGACGCTGAGTGCTGTGGGTGATGATTCAGTCTTTCTGTAGCAAASCATCCTCAGGGCTGTCCTCAATTGGGCTTGCCCCTGAGCTTGATCTGCTTCTGTCTCCTTCTTGTCCTGAGTAAAAAAAGTTGCTTCAGAAGCCTCACGATGTCTTTGAGACTTGGTCCAGCAAAGTGCATGAAGATAAAATAAAGATAGTTTAACAGTCTTCATTTTTGGAAGAAAGCTATTGAAACACTTCAGCCARTATCATGGCTTTAGTGGGAAAACAAGAATAACAGAAATTTATRCTGCAAACTTAGTGCTGGTTTTAGCTGTGAGGACTCAGAATGTAACATGAAGTGCATGAAGTTTTTCTGGTTCAGAAACTGACAGAACAATGCAACCAGCAGTATGGCAGAAGATAGACATTACACAAATATTGAAACATTGCAGATTATTTTTTTTTCTGAATGTCTGCCTGTGATACGTAGTGACTGAACTGAGAGGAATTCAGAAATTGAGTTTGAAAGCAAGCAAGATGCTCTAGTCTGGTGATGCTTGGTTGCACTGTAAAAAGTACCATGGACCTTCTAACATGCAAAAATTGCATCTTGCCCTTCCTACAAGATCTATTTTTCTGCAGGATCTGTTAGGCATTGATATCACCTTTTCTCCTGAGGCCCATGCCTTGCTCATGCATAACCCGTGTCTCCCTGGTCTGATGACAGGTGCTTTCCAGTGGGAACGATTAGAAGAGGACATAAAGAAGAAGTTGAAGGATCCAGAAAAAACAGAGCATGTGCTTGAAAAAGTTAAATGCATCCTGAAAACTCCAGGAAAGGTATATCTAACTCCCTTGGGGTCCCTGTAAGGTACTTAAGTTCTTGAGAAATTGTTTTGTAGGCAAAAAGTTTTCTTCTCAGTTTTTGCTTAAAAGTCACTTTGGCTTACACAAACTGTATTCTTCATGTTTTCACTGGGTCGTTTGCTGGCACGTACACAGAGATCCTGATGTAATGTGCAGAATTAATGTAATTGGTAAAAATTACACAGACAGGTATTCTTAAAGGATTACTCGTGTTCACAGCTTTGAACATTGTGTGGCAATATGATTATGTTTTGTTAATTCTCATGTAATAGCGGCTGCCCAGGAAAGATACTTGCTCCTGAACMTATGCCAAAAGTTAGGCTTCTGCAGTAGATCCAGAAGGGTAGTTTCTCAGATACATTGTGATGCGGAAAACTCTCCAAAATTCAGTAGACAACTTCACAGAAAAATATAAGTGGCATCACATTGTTAAATTAGCAAAAAGTTACGATGTATAATTAGTTTTAATRCAGAGTTAGTTTTAACAGACATTTGGTAGCAGAGCTTATGCGTTGCCTGATAATACAGAACTTGTGCAAATGATTTCTGTTGATTTTAATGGGAACACCTCTTGGATTCTCTTGAAATAACACAGTATAAAGATCAAAAAGTTACAGAGCTGTTTTAAGCTTTTGATTGGTCTGTTTTAGGCTTGACAGCCCTTTGTGTCCGCTGTTAAAACATTTTTAGCGTTGTACTTGGAGAGGCCTGAAGACTTAAGATAGTGGGCCTGGGTTGYTGTCATTTCTTTCACTGGTCTTTTTATGCCTTCAGGGTACTTTCTAAGTACAGGGTACATCTAAGCATTTTTCTTTGGAGGCCAAAAAAGAAATAAATTTTGATTTTTCTTAGTAAAACTAAAAATTTTTAAGATTTTAACCACAAATTCAAGTTCATCTTGAATTTCACTTGTCACAATCTGGCAATGTGATTTTGATGATGTTCCTTTTGGCAGCTGTAGATTCCATTCTTAGGGTAAGAAAATTAAAACTGAAAATTAACTGGGAGTAATGGTTTTTGGAGGGTCTTGACGCTACCAGGGGTCTGTAAGAGGAGTCTGCTCCAGCATGTGGGTCCCCCTGCCTCTGTGGAGGCAATTTCAGGGCAATATAAAGACACACAGAACTTTGAGCTGCCCTATATCTCTACCAATCATTGTGCTGGGGGGTGGATGTGTGTCCCACCCCTGCTCTCTGCAAGCTCTCAAAACTCATTTTGCTGCAGCATTGATCTGAACAGGGAATGTAGGAGAAAGTATGGACTCCAGAAAGCTCTGCTGAAGTCCAGCCTGCCTGATGGGACTGGATGGGGAAGTTTGTCACAGGTCAGAGTACCAAGCTGAGAACTGAGATGTGGCTGTGGGGGACAAGAGACCCCTTAGATCTGCTGCACTGTAGGGAATGGAAATTAGAAGATAAAAGATGATTGCAGAGGAGTAAACATGYGAGAGCCTGTGGTTTAGTTTCTTCTATAGATGATGTCCCATAATCTTTAGTTCTGTGCGCAGCCACACTTGACAGGGCTTTATTACCAATTTATTTTTCAGCTTAACTCTGTAAAGGATTGCAGGTCTCACCAGATTAAACGGCTCTATAACACTTCTCTCAGGCTATTTTTTAACACGCCTGTCCTGGCTGATGTCATCTTCAAAATACAAGGTAAGATACCTCTGCTGCCTTGGCCTCCATTCTTTATCCTTTTTTCTCTTTCAGGAACATGGGACAYAGAGATGGCCCATAGAGGTGGCATCAAAACCAAGGAAATGTTAATGCTTTGCTATCACTGTGGGAAGCAGGGAAAGCTTGTCGCTGCAGATGCTCTGTGGCAGTGTCCACTCCCAGCATGGTTTGTCTGGGATAAGCCTTTASGAATTCCCTCTGTCCATCATGACAGACTCCCTGATTGACATTAATTTTTGTTCTGTTTTGTTCTATTTTGGTTTACYCTCTTTTTTTGGCATTTTTTCATTTTGTTTTACTTTGATTTATTTGATATTATTTTGTTCTGTTCTTTTTTCTTTTAACTTTCATTTTTATTTTATTATCTCACTCCTGTTCCCAGCTTCACAAGCACTAGAACATGCTCAAGGGCTCTGCCCAGCATCTCCCCTTGAAAGTGCATGGATACCCACATGTGTTCTTGCTGCCATCCATGAAAAGACCAGAGATGGGGTTACTGAATCCTAGCCAACATCCCCCTGTAGGTCTCAGGAAGGTGCTGCCTGTGGAAGTGTCTTTCCCATCCCTCCAGAAACTGACAGGGACTGGCTTTTCTGGCCTTGCCACCTGAGTTTGGTGACCTGCAGATCTAGTGCCGCTGACACTGCCACATTTTACTGCTGGACGTGCTGCAGGGTCTTGATTGAATTTTTTTTCTGGAAACTAAATGTGTTCATCCTTACAATGAAAGACGAAGTGGGAGAAACTTTTCTCATGTGTTGTATGCTTCTGTGAGAATAAAAACTAGATGGCTTTTAAAAGCTAACATTATACTCAATTTGTCCATACTTRCCCTTCACACAGAAATGGTCTTCCTAGAATTAGATACTTAATTATTTTCAGATGTAAATCTCAGGGCCAAATATGAAGCATTAACTCCTCAAGCATAAGCACAGAAGAACAAGCAGGCTCTTTCTGGATGTTCTATTTAATAGGCAGAAAAAAAMCCCACAGAAATATCTTTGGAAATGAGAGGAAAATACTGTAGAGCTCAATGGCATGAACAATTCACCTTCGTGTCCCGTGCTTGTGAGAGGCTTTGTGGGAAGTTGATGAAACCAGAACACTGTGTTTTACAGAAAAAGACTCTAAATCCCTGAATGGGTTGACAAGCATTTTTAAAAAGCGTGCTAATAAAATGTGAACAGTTTTACCTAGTACTTTATACATCTTCCAAACCTTTTTCTTTAATTCATCAATCACAGTACCTTTATTAAAATTAAGTAACTACTAAGAGAAACTAAAGGTGTTAGTCTTGACCAGACAAATAAATCTATAAGTTTTAAAGCAGTTTCTTGGATACTGAGCATTGCTTTGAGTTTTCTAGCTTACAGAAGTATGGGAGCCAGGAAAAATGGGAGCCCATTATATCTGTGTAAAAACACTGAACATGACTGAATTTCTTAATTAATAGATAGATGTTCATTCACATGCACACACAGGAGTACATGTGTCTTTTAGATCACAGCAACCTCATGTACTACTCATATTACCACCACAAATATGTGGTATTATCAACAAGTATCCTCATTATATATATATGTGTGTGTGTGTGTGTGTGTGTGTGTGTGTGTGTGTGTGTATATAAAATGAATACGTATAATATATATATTGTTATATATATATTCATTATATATATGTTTGTATTCATATATATATGTTTTGTATTTGTCAGCGTAGACATTTTCAAAGTAGAAGTACAAGGAAGTAGAAATAGAACAAAAGACAGAAAGTGCCAGAAGTCTTCAAAGAATTACTCAGGTGCCAATGTTGTGGTTAAAGAGATAATTAAAACAGCAACTTCTTTGTATACAGTGTATTTATCTTGCATCTCAGTTGATCTGTTTATTATAATTTTGATTGAAACATTTACATTCAACTCTAAATGCTCATTTTGGTTTTGGTTGCTGTCCTGACTGGCACTTGCTTGGCATTTCCTTACACACAGAAAGGCCTTTACCACCCTGGACTGTCAGCCTCTTCAGGTCTTCCAAATGCTGTAGTAAAGCAAAGGATTCACTTGCAAATAGTACAAAATTAATACATTTCTGGGGAAAAGTAATCAATGTTATTTTCATAAGACAACCATTCAGGAAGCCCCACAATATTTAATTCAAGTTACATTTATACTTGAAGGACTCAGTGGAATTTCATCTGGAATAATTTGCTTTTCTGCACTTTTTATGGTTACTCTGGCACAAATATTAATTACCAGTAGGGTTACTGGTGAACACAAATGACTCACCGTAGAATCCTTGAGGTTGGAAAAGACCCCTAAGATCATTATGCTCAACAATCAACCATTTGCATAACAATTCATAGCACTACATATTTATGCGATAGGCTGGAGGTTCAGTTAATATGAACTGATTTATTCTAYTTTGTCTGTTTTCTGTTGGTTTAGTCTACTTCATTTTGGCTTCATTAATTTTTGTTTGTTTATTTTTCTTTATTTTACTGTTCATTATTCATCTTAACTAGCATGCTGCAAGTGTGTTGTTAGTTATTGTTAACTTTCAACATTCCAATCATGTTCAGTGGAGGGATGACCTTCTAAGAAGACGTGAGCATTAAAATGAAGATCTTTCTGTGCTATATAAAGTCATTGTATATTTATTTTTATCTTGCATCCTTCAGGTGCAACTGTGCCAGCCCACAGGGCAGTTCTGGTGGCCCGCTGTGAGGTTATGGCTGCTATGTTTAATGGTAATTATCTGGAAGCAAACAGCATTCTGGTTCCAGTTTATGGGGTTTCCAAAGACACTTTCCTCTCCTTCCTAGAGTACCTTTACACYGACTCCTGCTGCCCAGGTAAGAAAAATGTAAAATACAGTCCCCTATCTGTGAATCACTTTTCCAGAGCAGGACATTGAGAGAGTAGTGTAGCAGCATTTATTTAATTGAAAATTGTTAACATTTGAATGTGCAATATTTCGAGAATGAGCACTTCTTTGTATTTTGCAGTAAAAAAATGAATCAGTCCTATTCAAGTAAAATCAGCTATAGGCAGAAGAAGCATTACTAATTAAATTAAGTATTTGCTTCGTGCTTACATAACAAGACTCAGAAGAGTTGAAATTTCTTTTCTGATCCATTATAATATTTGGAATTTTCTTTCTACATCACAATAATACTACTTCCTAGACTTGATTCTGTGTTTTATTTTAAAGTTGTCTTGTCTTGAACATGTACATAGTTAAGTTTAATATTAAAAAGGTTAGTTGCAAGAGCACCTATTTCTGTACACAGTTATCTTGCTAGTATGAAAAACTGGAAAAAAGTATGTCGACTGGAGTGTTTGGCAAGCAAAATTGAGCTAAAATATTCTKTGTGTCTTGACCTTTATCTTTTTTTTTAATGAGAAGAAGATCTGGATATTAAATCTGAAATACAATTTAAATGAAGCCTATTTTCCCTTGATATAAGGAATGAATCATGCTGTGATATGTATTTTTGCTTTTGTTTTCTTTTAAAATAATTATTCTATCTTATTGTTAGATTTTCCATGTTTCTCTTTTCACTTCACTTAACATTTCCTTGTTTGTCAGTTTAAACATGCAACCACCATGTCATATTTTAGGGAAAAAAAAAAAAGTTTCTCTCTTTTGTCTTGACCTTCTGGCTATCTTTTGTTGTATCAGAAGAGTGTTCTCTTGAAAGAGAACTTAGAAAGCTAAATCCTCTAACTGATCATCACTTGCACTAAATACAGCCATAATATTTGACTTGACATCTTCAAAATACAGGACATTGACAGCAGTTCTTTACACCTATCTGCTGAAAAGTTCTAAACCCTTTTTTCTCCTTATTGAATGACATATCTGGAAAAATAAGCTGACACAGCCAACATAAATTCATAATAATGAAAAATTAAACAAGCTGATCACAGTACTCTGATTTTTGTGTTTGTTGTTAAGTGTTTTTAAAAATGACTTGGTGAAAAGTGGCTCTGATTATCTTGTCAAAAAGGTAAAATGCACGTAACTCATGTCTTGTTGTTTTTCAGCCAGTATTCTCCAAGCGATGTCTCTGCTGATCTGTGCAGAGATGTACCAAGTAATGAGACTCCAGCATATTTGTGAACTTTACATCATCACGCAGCTTCAGAGCATGCCTAGCAGGGAACTGGCATCCACAAGCCTCAGTATTGTTAGCTTGCTCAAAAAAGCTAAGGTACATGTTGTACATATCAAGTAAGAATAATTSTGTTGACTCTAATAAGTTGTTTGATTGTTTAGATTTTTAAGATCTTACAACAATTTCTATTCCCAAGGAAAATCGTTGATATGCAATCTGTTTATTAGGAGTAACTGGTGGCACAAGGATGGCTGAAATAAGTCCTTCAGCATTTAAYTGCAGAATGTGCAGTCACAGAATCATAGAATTGACTCTACCACTGTACCCAGAGCAGCCTGSTCCTGAGCTTGACAATGCTGGCTATGAAAAAAATTTTCCTACTATGCAACCTAAATCTTCCTGGCACAAACTGAGACCATTTCCTCTTGTCTTGTTGATGCTCAATCGATTTTTTTTCCTTCTTTCTTTTATATATTCTCTYTATTCTTTGCACAGATATTTGTAACTGTAGCCTATTATTGTATTTATAGTTAGCTCCAGTACTTTTCCCTACCCTGATAGGCAGAAAGACAAAACACATTCCAGAAGCTCCAAGCTGGGGGTCCAATTCTCCTATCCTATCTTGATTCTTGCTGGGAGCTGATGTTGAAACAGCTCTTTGAGACACATGCTCCTAAACAGAATTTAGTCCCGATCTATAGAAGGGAGAATTCGAAAAAGGGTTGAACTGGGGAGGAATTACTTCACCAGTTATGCTTCTAACGGGAGATTCTTGTCAGATACATTAATTTGCAAAATACATAAAAATTGTATGCACATTATGCTATGTGTGCATCTTCAGTGTTTTCCAGCTGGTGAATTGTGCACTTAAGGATCCTGCAYAAGGATCCTTATAAAGGTAACCCCTTGTATGACCTTAACTGTGTCTGGCTCATGATTTTAGGACCAGTGAAAAGGCATCACTGTCACTTGTTATCTGGGAGCAGAGACCAACCCTGACCCATCCACAGCTTCCTCTCAGGGAGTTGCAGAGAGTGATAAGGTCCCCCTGAGCCTCTGTTTTTCCAGGATAAAACCCCCCACCTCCCTCAGCTGCACCTCATAAGATTTGGGCTCCAGACCCTCTAGTCATAGAGCACATGCTCTGTATTATTTCCTTCATCATGGGCACACTGCAGTAATTCAGCTTAATTACAGCTTCTTACAGAAAGGATGTGTTTTAGGTGAGTGAAGGTCTGCTTCTTCCTCTTCTAGTCAAAAAAGAAAATTATGCGATATGCAGGTGACGAAGGAGTTCTAACTGGATAGAATATTGAGAGAAATGCATAAAAAGCATGAAAAGAAAAGATTAGAGGCTAAAAAAAAGGGATACAATAAAGGCTGATTTGGAAAAGAGAAGAGGAAAATAAAAACTGGATTGCCCTAATAAAATGGGATTTTTTGCAGAAAGAGACCACAAAACCAACATGCCACGTTCCTTCCCTCCATTTTTTTGTGAAGCTCTGCCTCTGTGCAGAAGACAAAATTTCCAAGATTCATGATTCCTTAGGGGTTTTTCCTACCTCCGAGAGAGAGGGACTTTTGCAATTTGTTTTAGATGTCCACCTATTTACATACTTCCATTAAATTACTTCTCCTTCATTATCTTCCACAGCCAAAACTTTATTTAGTAAATTATATTGACAGTGGAAACCTGAAATATTCTGACATGTGAGATGTGGTTGTGTTTTAGACATGATAGCATTAAGTGTTTTTTTCTGTTTCCTTTCTTCTCACAGTTTCACAATTCTGATTGCCTTTCAACTTGGCTTCTTCATTTTATTGCCACTAACTACCTCATCTTCAGTCAAAAGCCTGAATTTCAAGAACTTTCAGGTATTTTTCTGTTTGTTTTGATGAAACAAATGTTTTCAGTTCTGCTGAGATTAGAAACTATGTTCTGGACAATACCATTTTTGCATGGGAAAATGATTAGGGTTTCTTTAGGATATTCCAGCAGGATGTCTCACCATCCTACTGTGGGATCAACACATGATATGACACAGTTAGCACTGCATCACTCTTTTTTTGGTTCTGTTAGGGGGGGCAGGTTTCCACCTATAATTGAACTTTCTGGAACAGTATGGACATTGTTTGTCAACCACGTCATATTATCCTGCTAATTTGAATCAAGGTAATGGGTCGTTTTTGATACCTCTTTTTGAAGTGCAGGGGTTTTCCTTGAAGAAAATAGTATTCTTATAATACCCCCCAGTAGATCTCATAAAATGAAAAAGTGATTGTTCATTCAAGTAAATAAACCAGCGTCTTCCAGGGAACTGCTATTTTTTTCGGAAGCATTTGTATTTGCTTCCTGATATGTAACTGGAAAGTTGTGCTCACTGCCTTCGTGATTTTTCATCATCCTGATGATGGGTGCATCAGTTTGACCTGGATCCACCTCTTTGACCCGTGATACCTCATCATCTCGAGGTTCAGGACAGCAACACAGCAGCAGGCAGCATCTCTCCAAGGGCTTTTCAAGACCTTCACAGAATCACAAAACAGCTCAGTTGGAAGCACACCCAAGGATCCCTGAATGCAACTCCTGGCTCTGCACAGCGTCATCCATGAGAGTCGCACCATGAGAACATTGTCCAAAAGCTTCATGAGCTCTGTGAGGCTGATTCTGTGACCACTGCCCTGGGGAGCTTGTTTGAGTGCCCAAACACCCTGTGGGGGAAGAACCTTTTCCTAATCCAACCTAAACCTCCCCTGGCACAACTTCAGGCCGTTGAAACTGTCACCACAGAGCAGAGATCCCCCTCCTCTTCCCCTCACRAGGCTGCAGACCCCAATGAGRTCTCCTCTCAGTCTCCTCCAGGCTGAACAGACCCAGTGCCCTCAGCCRCTCCTCACACAGCTTCCCCTCAAGGCCCTTYACTGTGCTCTTTTGGACACTCGCTAATAGTTGAATATCATTCTTTTACTCTGGTGTCCCAGACTGCCCCCAGCACTCGAGGTGAGGCTGCCCTAGGTCAGAGCAGAGCAGAGCAGGACAATCCCCTCCCTTGTCCAGCTGGCGATGCTGGGCCTGGTGCCCCCCAGGACGGGGATGTCCCTCCTGGCTGCCAGGGTGCTGCTGGCTCATGTCCAGCTTGCCATCAACCAGGAACCCCAGGTCCCTTTCCACAGCACTAGTCTCCACCATCTCATTCCCCAGTCTGTCTGTACACCCAGGGTTCCCTCATCTCAGGTGCAGGATCTGGCACTTTCTCTTTTTGGACTTGGCTGGTGGTCGCTCGGTCTTCTAATCCGTTTAATCCTCYCTGCAGGGCCTCCCTGCCTTTGAGAGACTCAGCAGCTCCTGCCAATTTTGTATCATCTGCAGACTTGCTCAGCGTCCCTCCCAGTCCCCCATCCAGGTCATTTATGAGGATGTTGAAGAGCACAGGTCCAAGAATGGAGGCCTTGGGAATCCCCACTAGTGACATGTCACCAGTGTGATATCACCCCATTACCACAACCCGTGGTGCCTGACCTGTGATCCAGCTGCTCACCCATCTCAGGATGTGTTTATCCAGCTCTAAGCTGGATATTTTATCCAGAAGGATCCTCTGAGAGACGGGATCAAAAGTTTTACTGAAATCCAAAAACATTACATCAGCTGGCTTCCTTTGATCAACTAGGCTGGTTATCTTGTCATAGAGGAAGTCAGATTTGACGAGCTGGATATTCCCCTGAAGGCTGAAGCCCTGCTGTGTGCCCAGTGTGAGCAGTTTGCCTGTTCTCAGACTCCCCAGACTGTGAGCTTCTCTGCTGTGCCTTGGTCTGAGCCCCTCAAAGGACTGGGAACAATGGCTGCCTGTGGAATATCTGGGGTTAACAGGATGAAAATGCATCTTTCTGCAAAAGCAGAGGGGATTAATCTAAACAATATGGGTAAAAGACTCTGTTACATGACTTCCTCAGTGATAAAAAACACCTGCAGTAAGAGATTAACACCCTGCTGAATTCTTAGTTGCCTCCCTCACCTTGTTTTCTGTGCCGATCTTGAGACAAACTACTGCCACAGGAATTGATGTATCCTGATTTATAGTGTTGCATCATAGAAAAGTCCTTGCACACCACATATGGATACCCTCCAGGGATAACGAACATTCTCCTTTAGGAATATCTCTATGCTTTCCTTAAAGAGTATTGTACTCATTTTTTTAAAGAAAATAACCTTGTTTATTACTAACTTAGTAACAAGAAAGCATTGTGTAGTAACTCATATCTGTGGCATAGCAGAGCTCAATGCAAAATGGGCAGCACTTGTCTTTCCTTTTGTAGTTCTCTTTATATCTTTAATGGTTTTAAATCTATTTTTAAAAGAATTTTGCAGCCTGTGCTCCATGCCTGCATATTACATTTAATTCCTTTATTTCTTTGTCTAGTGGAAGAGCGCAATTTTGTAGAGATGCACCGATGGCCTTCCAACTTGTACCTGAAGCAGCTTGCTGATTACAGGAACTATATCCACTCTCAGAAATGCCACTGCGCAGTAATGTAAGGAGACTGAATACAGACAAAATGCATCTCAACTGCAGATTTTCAGATTGGGGATTACATAGAATATAAAAACAGYGTCAAGAGTGAAACCTGATGCTGACCTCCTCTGGAACTTACAGACATTCTTTGTTTTGCTAACAAATTACTCTAATTTTTACCTTGAAGCATTGAGAAATATATGTTGAAGATTTATTTAAGCACAAAGACTTCATGGGGATTAAATGTAGTACAGGACAGTGCCATGACTGGCATCTGTTCCCCTTACTAATTTCTTTATTGTTTATTTTATTGTTTTTCTTGGTTATTTGTGGCTGCTAAACTGAATCTGTTGAAAATAGACTGGTTTTGTAAATCTGTGTGTAATAGAAGCATAGGACCACAGTAGCAGTTCAGGGAAGCTGAGAAACAAAGTAATAAATTCTTCATATATTTCAGAAAGCAAAATTTTATGCAGCATTTGTTAAACAATATAAAGGGTAGGCTTACTAAGGATTGTAGTTGCTATTAATTTATTACTTCAGAGAAAGCCTGTAGTTCTGTTACAATCCTATGAGTAGATATTTTAATTCCAGAGGAATGCCTGTGCATCACTGTATCTCTAGTGCCTCCCAAATATCAAAAAAGACATAATTTTTCCTACCAGTAACTAGGAGAAGAAAGCCTATTTTAACCATTTGCAAAACACCTTTGTTAGTATGGTCATATTGTATTTTTCCCCATAAGAAATAAAGATATGGAGAACTACATAAGCTCTGACCATGTCCATATGGTACTGATGGATGAGGAAGAAAGGCAGAGGGGTCAATAGCCTTTCATGGCGTTTGAGAGGGAAAACTCATTATCAGAAGTGGCTTTTTTGGGAAAAGTCTGTCTTGTAATCATAGGTCCCCACAACAGTTGGCAGCATAAATGTTGGATGTGCTGGCCATACAGGAGGTGACCTTCATGGATTTGCCAGCACTGCCAGGGATGTCAGCTTTTGTGGTGGGACTTTGAGCTCAACCCTCCCCAGTGGGGACTTAGCTCAACTTTAGTTGTCATCCTGTCCTCAGAAGCTACATCATGTGAGAGAAACCTAACAATGGATCCTGAGATACAACAGAAGAACCCAGAATATCATGATACTTGCAGATGCTGTTTAGAATTTTATTGACCTGCATAACTCATCATGCTGTTGACTTGCGGGTGCATAGGATGTGCTAATGCCTTTACCTGAGCCCAGGTGCTTTTCTAGAAGCGAAATCCAATCTAATCAAGAAACTAAATGCCTCTGTATCATTCTTGCTCGAAGTATTAAAAGTTTGCTTTTTCATCTACCTTCGTAATTTGGTATGTACCCTGAGGCTTTGGCATTTCCTCAATATCCACCACATCAAATGTATCTGGAAACTGCACAGAGAAGAAGAAGGTAGGAAAGCAAATGGCTGGAGCTGAAGTTTTTGGTTTTTTTGTTTTTTTTTTTTCTTTTCTTTTTAAAGCTATAAGAATTGTTTTATTTTTCAATACAGTTTTATAGGTAAATTATTCTTTCCAAATTCCATTCTAGGGTCACAAAGATTTTCTTCTTCCTGGTGATACTTTGCAGAACTTGAGGGGTGTTTCCTTCTCTATTTTTGTATACACACAAAATAAAAGAGTATGACTCAGCTGGCTGCTGCAGACTCAAATTTTTGAGGTTAGTTTTATGCGAGAATGATTTTTTTTTTTTTTAAACTTTGAATCTGTGAATCCTGAAGTTCTTTAGAAGACAAATATACTTATCTACATCTCATATATAAGGAGTCTGAAATATAGAGCATTACCTTGCCATTTCAAGAGAATTAAAGAAAACCAAAATGATTAAAGAAAAAAAAATAATTTGGAAAGTAATAAATATAGAACTTAAATGTGAAACAAGTAATTTTTTTCATTATATAGTTATCAAAAAAGTTAAGCAAAAATTAACTGTATAGATAAGAATAAAACTGTAATTTTTTTTTAAGCTTAAAGTCATAGAAAAATATGCACATGCAGCTGAACTACAGCTTGTCTGAACATCTGACAGCATCCTCGRATGCTTCTACCAGAAGCCAGCTCAATTATCAGTAGTGGGGATTAAATGCTTCATACTGACATCCTGTGCAAAAGTGACACAAAAGCTTCATGAATGTTTGTCTGTGCTGAATATAGTCCTGAATATTTAATACTTTAAAAGCTTTCCCAGGTTTTTCTCTAGGAGTTAGTCTGTTGCAAATGATTTGTGTATGGATGACAAATTAGAAAATACTGGTTTTAATTTTCTGTAAATGTTTTATAGGCATTCAAAACTAGGCTTAATGGAAATACAAACCCTTTATATCCAAACCAGAGAAATATTTTGCTATTGCACATTTTAGTCAGTGGTAGCCTCATGTTTTATACAGAGAAGTCAGGCAGTATAAAAATATTTATTATTCATTCAGAGTTTAATGCATACTACTATTCAGAAAATAAACCATGTCTCCATTTTAATGAGTAACCCCATAATGCTGCCTGTATCAGGTGCAGATGTGCTGTACTTCCAGACATAAACCATCTGATAAATTTTAATTCTTAGAAGAATTCATACTATAAATTCTAATTTTCATTCTCTAAGATGACTTTCTGTGGAAATGTAGTAGTCTTAAAGCTATTTTTAAAACATACTTTTAGCATTTAGAAACATGACTGAAAATAGATAATGATGCTTTGTGAGTTGTTATTGGCAGCTGGTTTTAGTGGAGGCTTTAGGACTGTGTCCATCACAGATAGTCAGGACTTAGGGCAGTACTTAATTTGGTATTTATTTATTTATAACTGTGTATGGCATAAAGTAAAAATTGCTATAACAGCCCCCCCATTTCCCCCCCTTATACTATGGTATAATATAAAAATCAGGTACAAACTGAAAAAAAGAAAAAGTTATTTAAGGAAGTGGTCTTGAAAAAATAAAATGTTTCTGGAATGCTTCCACTGATTCCAACACCTCCCAAACTCCCCTGGCCCAGGCAGCATTGGGATCAAATAAGAAGGTCAGTGGTGAATATGAACAGTACCTTAAGCAGTACTCAGAGTATTTGAGATTATATATTTAGGCTTAATTTTAAGTAGAGATGCAACTCCCAAGTCCTTCATTAGAGCTAACGCTCAAAATTAACTTGTATAATTTTTTGAATAATGAATTACACCCTTAACTCTTGCTCTCCATTATATGTGTGTTCTTTTCCCAAACTAGCACTAAGCTTTATAGAGACTAACACAGAAAGCTTTCTGCTCTAATAAGGTTTTCCACATGATTGTGAGAAAACCTCTGCTATTGTCCTTACGCCATGGTTTGCTTGATTTGAAAAAAAAACAAAAAAAAACCAAAAAAACCCTGTTAGAAAAAAGAATAACTATTTTATTAGGCATGTCCTGAAATTCTGGTATGTCTTTCTTTTAATGTACCCTGACTAAATTATGCCTTTTTAGATTGAATATGTAAAATTTTGATACAAAATAAAAAAAAAATCCTCTGTTCAGTCTCATGTGATTACTTACAGGTGTCCATTAGTGTATTTGAGTGTTATACTGGAGATATTTTTTATAGCTTATTGGGRTCATAGAGCCCAATACTGGCTTGGGTAGAGCCATTGGCTTGGGTTGCAAGGGACCTAAAGATCATCTTGTCCCAACACCCCTGCCATGGGCAGGGACACCTTCCATAACATCAGGTTGTTCAGAGTCCCAGCCTCACTCTGGATAATCGGAGCTTTATTTTTAACAGGTTTGCAGTTGTTCTTCTTTTACAGGTCAGGACTTCTGACTTTCCAGTGAAGTGAGAAGTGGTGTCCTCCAAGAGTTTTTATTGCATGTGTTTTTCATTCAATATTATTAGTAAAATTACTATTTTAAAGCATGTATTTCATTAAGTCTTGAAGACATTCTTAGCTGTGGTTGTCATATTTGGAGGGGAGGAGTAGGTTCAGGCCAAATGATGGGGGAAAAACCCCAGCCATCCAGTACTGAGATACTTCCCTATTCCCAGTTCTGCTCTGCTTCCCACTGCTTGTTCAAGGACAGCTGAAGACGATGGCTGAATTAACAAGAGTATCATTCTATCCATCTTCATCTTGTGCAGGCTGCTGGCCAAGTCCTTTGTGTGTCAGGGAGGCAGACTTGGCCAGAGGAAAGTAAGCCCTCATTCTGACTCTTGTCTGTCAGGGTGAAGACTGTGATTTAGAGTTTTTAACCTGAAAGATTTTCGATGTGACCTGGAGATTTACCTGGGAGCTCCAAGCTGAAGACATAAAGTTCTCACAAATTGCTCAAAAGGATAAAGACTCAGGAGCTGGATACAGGCTGTAAATGCACAATCAACAACGATGTAAATTCTTTTATACTTTCAGCCATGCTCAGTTAACAAGGGAAATCAGCTAGACAAGCCTGGACCATGACAGGCTCATCCTTCTGAAGGTCAGGGATACTCCAGTTCATATTCAAAGACTTTCTAAAGACTGAGGTTGTCTTTTTACTCATGAGCCTGATAAGTTCTGCTTTTTTCCTACACAAAAATCTTATCACCTGCAGCAGCAGGTGGGGACCACCCCATGCACAGGTGCAGCCTCAACAGCAACACTGCAAGCTGGGACACTCAGCTATTTTGCATGATGGGTTATCCCACTGTGGGCAGGCATAGGACAGAGGAGTGGTGACAGGCTCCTGGTGAAGCCAACAGGGTGCCATCCCCCAACACCTTCTTCTGCCAAGGACACTGTGCCCTGCCCCACTCCCAAGGGTCTCGAGCAGCCTTCTAGCCTTCAGGGATGCTCCTGCTTTGCTCCCCAGCTATGACCTTGCAGAGCAAGATCCACGCTACACAAAGCCTCCTGAGCTCAGTCATTGTTAACTGGGATGTGGAGTAGGTTTCCAACAGCTATAACTTACTGTACTGGTGGATTTTTCATTCTTAACTTCAGAAGGTCTTTTTCCACTTCAAGGTGCTGTATTTTCTGTTTTCTTCCTATTTGGAGTAGAGTGGTTTTTATTTCTGGTTTGTTTTTTTAAGGATCTGGACTGAAATGGCAGCCAGAAACACTCAGGCCTAGGTACTAGATGGACATTACGCATCCTGAAGGCAGTTTACAGGCATAGTGAAATGTGACCCAAAATAAGAATCTCTGCTTGTAAAACCTCTACCCCAGCCCATTCTGGACAGCAGCACTCTGGCACTCTCTGTCAAGCAGCAGCAGTCAGCACGCCGAGGGGAGGCACCCCAGCAGAATTCACCCCGTGCTCCCCAYGGCAGCGTTCCTTGTGCTGCTGCACTGCCGAGGTGTAGGAATGGCCCCTGCCCCASGCAAACAAAAGGCACAGGTCTCAGGGTTAAAGAGGTGACATTTTATTGAACTTCAGTTGAAGGAGAACAGAAGGGTAAGAGCAGCTCAGGTATTCAATCATAAAACACCCCAAGATGRCTCAGGTATGGGGYCTTAACATCGTTGGCATGGAGACAGTTGTGGAAGTTGTCAAATACTCTCCGAGGAAGAAAGGGCCATTCACAGCCCTGTTTGAGCATTGTCCTCCCTCAGTCAATATCCATCCCCAATAGAAGGTTATGGCTTTGCTGCCCACACTCTACCTTGAGGTCAGCTGAAAGGATAAATGGTAGGAATCTTAGGAAAAGGACTGCACTTCAAAGTCCCCCCTAAGTCTGTGCAGGGATCAGCACCTGTGACTCCCTGGAAACACTGGTTGTGACAGACTATTTTTGAAAGAGGTAACAAAAAGAATGGAGTTTCCATAGGGACATTTGAACCCAATTTCTCTTTAAAACCTGTTCAAGTACCTGTCCAACACTTGTCTGTGTGTTTTCCGAGGCACTTGCAAAAGATTTGGATATTCCTTGACTCACTGACAGGGTGATGTCGCAGTAGAGACAGACAGCACAACACGAAATAACAATCAACAGATACAGACCAATCGATCTAAGGACTACTCCTTTATTACAGGGCTGAGCCCCTTTTATCTATTTAGCAACAAGTGTATACCAAGTCTTCCTCATAAATGTCAATTATCTATTGGCTAATTAGCAGCCCCTTTTCTACTCGTCAGCATATGATTGGTATGTTTGCAAAAAATGCTCTGATTTTCGCTTCGGTCTTTAGGCATCTGCTTTATCTCTTCAGCATTCCATTCTTGGTTTCCCAGAGGCAGGCACGGTTGCGTTGTAAGGGTAACATCCTCCTCCATCCAAGCTTTCACACTCCCTTTGTTTTTCCAGATCTCAGTGGTACACTTATTATCAGTTGAATTTCAGATTCAGAAAYTGCAAGGCCACAATGCTGGCTTTCGGCCTCCGCAGAGTGAGGCCATGATTTACAAGCAGTCCTGGGAGCTGCTTGAGCTGACAACTTAGAGCAGCCCTTGTGCAGTCCTCTGAAACCCTCCGAAACAAGGTGATTTGGGRATGGGKATTGTCCAAACTTCTCCACSTTCTACCACCTCAGGCAAAGAGTTTGCATTTACAAGAAAGGTTGGAAAACAGGCTGATACTTACAATAAAGAATCTCCATTTGCTACGATATTTTTTTTAAAAGGGGCACAACTTCCTAGTAGAGGTACTGGGCTACCATCCTCTACTGATCAAATTATTTCAGTGGACCAACCTAGCAAGAAGATGGTTGTAAAAATAATAGACCAGAAGAAAGCTGCTCCACATATGATATAAGCAACAGTGAGAGACGAAGTTAACAATAGTGAAATTTCTTTATTGCTTATGTTCAATACTAACTACTTCAAACTTAGATGAACTAATCCTAGGTTTTTAACAAGTACTCTACTGCTCAATCCTAACGTAACCTACTGTTCACTACAGACTTAAATAATCCTAAACTAACTAATCTTCTATTTGAAATAAAAAAGCCGGAGTTCATAGATGTCAACRRGCTGAAGCAGAYRTCTRGTGCCAGGACTCCACATGCTGCTGGTCATATTCAGATATTCGTCTCCGAATATGTGACAGCTTTTTGTGGAGATACTGGCACCTGCTCTTCATTTCAGAGTAGCTGGGGCTACCCTATGAAGGAGAAATAAACAGAAAATCAGGGCATGCAAACATTTCTGCAGAGTTGAGAATTTGAAGTCCTTTGCTTTAAAATAGCCTTGTGGGAGTCTCAGCTGTTACCACSCCCTGCAGGTCTGGTGTCACACACACCTGTTGTAACTCTTGATATTCTGATAGGATTCGATGAAGCAGCATCTTCAAGAAAAAACATATGAAGAACATCTCACTATCACTAGAAAATGCAAACATAGGTAAAACAGTAAAAATACACTCAGTCTGATTCTAGAGATTTTCTTCTCTGTGAGTCACTGCTTTTCTGGCAGGTTTGCAAAAATAAATCTCAAACTAAAAGCATCACCCAAGATCTGCAATGAAGCCTCTCAGTACACAAGAAAAGGAGAACACACCTAAGACTCTGCTTGGGACATCTCTCACCGTGCTGTTTGTTCATAGACAGCTCTAACAGGGGTTTTGGTCAGGGTCTTGCAAAAGTCAGACCCAGCCCAAGCACTGTCTGAGCAGACACGCTTATTCCACAAAGTTTCCCTTTGTCTCTCTGAGCAGTACCAGGGAATCTAAAACACTTCAATGATGTATCACAGTCTTCACTGTTTTATCCTTCTTTACCTGATGGGCTTTGGAGCCTGGAGTCAGAGACTTCCATTGCTCACTAAACTGTCGGAAATTCTCGGTGATCTTGTCTATCAGGACRTGTAAATTCCGGTATTCCTCATACTCTGCATTGAAGTCATCCTTGTAGCGCTGGCACTGCTCCAAGGAGACTATGGCTACRTATTCCCTAATGGAAAAATTAGACCATTTTTCTAGGAGTGTGTTATAAAAGAACATTCTAATAAATTTCTATTCCATATGGCACATGTGCAATTTTACACCAAGCACACAGTGAATGTCAAGCACAGACACCCAAGCTTCAAGTCACTCACTCGGTGACTGGCTTTTTCCACACGCAGGCACTTGTGCTTCCAGAGAATGTAGTCAGGTAACTCTAGAAATCTGCCACATTTCTACAACAGTTTTCTACCAATATTTCACATTTTAGAGTTTTTCTTCATCAGCACGTGTAGCACACTTAGAAAACATCGGCATCCATTTCAAATTTCAAAGGACCAACAAATACAGCAGCTTCAGTAAGAGAAGGACATTGTGAAATTCTATTCTATTTCCATGTAGGAAATAATTAAGCTACATTTATTTTTGAAAATCCATCTGCAATACATTTTTGGCAGGAACTGTATTTGTGGAGTTGGATGCACAGAGCTAGAGTTGTGAGCTGCATTTATGTCTGTCTAATACCAAAGTAGAATTAATGATAAAATTTTATTGTTCTTGTGAGCAGCAGTAACATCCCTGACCATGGAACTGTCACTTATAATACAGCCACAAAAGCAAACTGCAAACAAGTCTGAAACAACAACAGCAAAAACACAA